GAAGCTACTGCAGGAGATTGGTGTAGGAGAATATTTTCTATCTGAAGCTACTGCAGGAGATAGGTGTAGGAGACTATTTTCTATCAGAAGCTACTGCAGGAGATTGGTGTAGGAGACTATTTTCTATCAGAAGCTACTGCAGGAGATTGGTGTAGGAGACTATTTTCTATCAGAAGCTACTGCAGGAGATTGGTGTAGGAGACTATTTTCTACCAGAGGCTACAGCAAGAGATCGCTGTAGGAGACTATTTTCTACCAGAAGCTACTGCAGGACATAGGTGTAGGAGACTATTTTCTACCAGAAGCTACTGCAGGAGATAGGTGTAGGAGATTATTTTCTATCAGAGGCTACTGCAGGAGATAGGTGTAGGAGACTATTTTCTACCAGAGGCTACTGCAGGAGATAGGTGTAGGAGACTATTTTCTATCAGAAGCTACTGCAGGAGATTGGTGTAGGAGACTATTTTCTATCAGAAGCTACTGCAGGAGATTGGTGTAGGAGACTATTTTCTATCAGAAGCTCCTGCAGGAGATCGGTGTAGGAGACTATTTTCTACCAGATGCTACTGCAGGAGATTGGTGTAGGAGACTATTTTCTATCAGAAGCTACTGCAGGAGATAGGTGTAGGAGACTATTTTCTATCAGATGCTACTGCAGGAGATAGGTGTAGGAGACTATTTTCTATCACAAGCTACTGCAGGAGATAGGTGTAGGAGACTATTTTCTATCAGAAGCTACTGCAGGAGATAGGTGTAGGAGACTATTTTCTATCAGAAGCTACTGCAGGAGATTGGTGTAGGAGACTATTTTCTATCAGAAGCTACTGCAGGAGATTGGTGTAGGAAACTATTTTCTACCAGATGCTACTGCAGGAGATAGGTGTAGGAGACTATTTTCTATCAGAAGCTCCTGCAGGAGATCGGTGTAGGAGACTATTTTCTACCAGATGCTACTGCAGGAGATAGGTGTAGGAGACTATTTTCTATCAGAAGCTCCTGCAGGAGATCGGTGTAGGAGACTATTTTCTACCAGATGCTACTGCAGGAGATCGGTGTAGGAGACTATTTTCTACCAGATGCTACTGCAGGAGATCGGTGTAGGAGACTATTTTCTACCAGATGCTACTGCAGGAGATTGGTGTAGGAGACTATTTTCTATCAGAAGCTACTGCAGGAGATAGGTGTAGGAGACTATTTTCTATCAGAAGCTACTGCAGGAGATTGGTGTAAGAGACTATTTTCTATCAGATGCTACTACAGGAGATAGGTGTAGGAGACTATTTTCTATCAGAAGCTACTGCAGGAGATTGGTGTAGGAGACTATTTTCTACCAGAGGCTACTGCAGGAGATCGGTGTAGGAGACTATTTTCTACCAGAGGCTACTGCAGGAGATAGGTGTAGGAGACTATTTTCTATCAGAAGCTACTGCAGGAGATAGGTGTAGGAGACTATTTTCTATCAGATGCTACTGCAGGAGATAGGTGTAGGAGACTATTTTCTATCAGAAGCTACTGCAGGAGATTGGTGTAGGGAACTATTTTCTACCAGATGCTACTGCAGGAGATAGGTGTAGGAGACTATTTTCATGTTCAGCCTGCATCACTCAGAGTGACTGATCGTTTTTAAAAACAAGTAAAAACAGTTTCTGAGTGAATCTGCTCTTTAATCCTTCGTGAGAGATTAGATGATTCCAGTCTATTCTTTTATTATAAATGTCATCTCAACCTTTTATAATCCTGTTGTCCTAGAGGCCGTAGACCTGCAGGACCATTGTTTTGTCTTTCTTATGCCCATGGGTGATAAAACCAAGGCCACGCGAGAGTGTTAGTCTCCACTGATTCTGGGTTCAGACGGGTTCAGTTTTATTCGTCGCTCTTCGACTGAGCAGATACAGGACAGAGTCACCAAAAACTCTGCATTTCTTCTAGGAATGCCTCACAGCACACGAGGATGTCGTCTGCTCTCGTTTTTATTTATTTATTTATTGATTATTTCATGAATGCATAGCAACAGGAAGCGCCATTCCTCCAGGGGTATGAAATGCTCATTGCCTTCTAAAAAGCCAACGCCAAGGAAAGCGTTTGATCTTCATCTCAAATCCCACATCTTTTAAATGTTGATCAGAAGATTACGACTCTCCTTCGTCCATTTTTGAGTGAGTTTTAATGTAGTAATTAGAACCACTTTGGGCTGCGGCGCCGTGCCGGTGCAGAGGAGTTCGTTTTGCACCAAGAAACACACACACACACACACACACACACACACACACACACACACACACACACACACACACACACACACACACGGACAGCGATCACTAATGCACGGATGCATGCACACACACTTTACCCCCCCAGTCCCAAACTGACCCCCGGTCCTCACTGCACGCTGACACACACACACACACACACACACACACACACACACACACACACACACACACACACACACACACACACACACACACACACACAGTCATAAATGCACAGCCCTGTGCCGGGCACCTTTACTTTTGCAGGCTGAATCTCACTGATAACATGCTGGCGTCCTCATTTAAATTTGAAGCGCTTCTTTAATCTTCAAAGGCCTGATTGCTTTATGAATATGCATGGACTGAGCTGACTCTCAGTTCATTACCTTGTTGTAAATTCTAATGACCATTAGGGCCCCGCACGGTAATTGCCAATTGTTTTGCATTTTTGATTAGCCCATTAGCGGAGCACATTCTGAACATGTCTGCCCTGCCAGGCCCACAGCAAGGAGCAGACAGCGGCAGGAAGGAAGGCGAGAGTAGTGTTCATTTAGAAGATTCACTAAAAATGCCGTGGGGTGGGGCGGGGTGGGGTGGGGGGTAAAAGATGCAACACAATAAATGTAGGTAGGACTCTAACTCCTCAGACAAGCTCAGTGCAGGTTTTTTCCTGCCCAGCCTGAGTGCAGGAGCATGTACCTGGCTGCCTTCATGTCAGCATGCGCTATTTGTTGACTGCACGCGGAGACATCTGCATGACTGTGTACAAGTTCGCGTGCGGTTCTGCTAGTTGGATGGGATAGGTGGAGTGCAGGGGGTGGAGAGGTTCTGCTTCCCAAAGCACGGTGTGTCTGGGACTCATGAAAAATGGATGGCTCCTAGCAGAATGGCATTGCCCTGCTACAACTTGATAACATCTAATGGATAATTTAGCGCTCTAAAACCTCCAGGCCGGTCTGCACAGCCCTCAGCAGGCTGGAGAGCGCAGCAGCTGCTGTTGGTGTTGCTGTTTATCGTAGAAATACAGGAGAGACACGAGGAACGAGAGGAGGGCAGAAGATTTCTGAGTCGTTGGTGGCTAAAGGGCCTAAAGTGATGTCACCATTGGCTTCTGTTTACCGTACCAGCCGACACCCTGTAGATGTTGCTGCTCTTTGGTTGTCATTGCTTCGTGTAGAAATGTCTCGGGCCAGAGAAGCATCTGGTTCTTTTAGTTCCTGTGAAAAAAAGCAGGCACAGCTTTTCATTCCCGTACTGATGCTATCTCTAAAGGTACCAGGTCAGTTTGAAACCTTCGAGAGCAAAGGTAGCGTAGGCGTAGCACTGCTGATAGTATCAAGATGTCCTTTATCTTAAACGTGACTTATTTTCCTCAGCCTGGATTAATACCTGAAAATAAAACAGTCTGTTTCAGTGAAGCTCCGCCCACACCCGCTCCGACAAAGCGCACCTACAACAGCGTCTTAGGGAGTCTCCTGTGGTGTTAGCCTCAGTAGTCCAGTGGTTAGCGTGTTGCCACGAGCTGGTGCCGGTCCGACTGTCGGTGTCGGCAGTAATTTATGTAGCAGCTGAAGTAGATTTCATTTATATATGTTTTTGTTTTATTGATTATTTTCTAAATATTTTGTGTCTAAAGATGTTTGAATTTGGTCGTTTCCAAGCAGCGTTGTAGTTGATCTGATGGTAAATGGCCTGTATTTGATATAGCGCCTTCTAGAGTTCTTGAAACCCCCCAAGGCGCTTTACAACACAATCAGTCATTCACCCATTCACACACACATTCACACACTGGTGGGGATGAGCTACAATGTAGCCACAGCTGCCTTGGGGCGCACTGACAGAGGCGAGGCTGACAAGCACTGGCACCACCGGTCCCTCCGACCACCACCAGCAGGCAACGTGGGTTAAGTGTCTTGCCGAAGGACACAACAACAGCGACAGACTGAGCGGGGCTCGAACCTGCAACCTTCCGATTACGGGGCGAGCACTTAACTCCTGTTCCACCGTCGCCCTGATCTGCTCTGCTCGCCTCACATGGTCTCACACTGGCTACATAAACAACGTAAAACACACTAGTCCTTATTTTTTAAACAGTTTACCAATAAAGGGTTGAAAACGTCAGACTGGCGAGTGAAGCTGAAACATAAGTAGAAAAGTTGCTGAGACCGGGAGGAGCCGCTGTAAAACAGCATGCTAGTCACTCTAACAACGTGTCCTGAGCTGGTCGGTACGTGTCTTCGTGGACCGGACTCATGGTTTCTACGGCGAGTTTTGTCGCCGGTGCAGAAGTGATTAGTCAGAACCTCCACTCTGGTACCGGTGGAGGTTTAAAGCAGCCATCTGTGGCCGGAAGGTCACGTTCTCACCTGCAGCGTGAAGTCAGCCGCTCTGTGTCCACGACTAGGAGAAAGTGGGAGTTAGTGACCTACTTCCAGGGGAGCCGGGTTCCTGATCATAGACGAGCATCAGGGGGAGGAGCAGGGCCTGGTGACGCACTCAGTTTTCATCCAGGCTTCTGCAGACTTTCAAAATAAAACTCAACATTTGCAGCTGAGACAGGAAAACGCATGGATGCAGCCAAAAATGGGGTTGGGGTATTATGTTATCACACGGTGAAAGCTCCGAAACGCTTCAGCACCGATTTCCTCAGTCAGGCGGATGAAGAGAGTTTGGTTGATCGTCTCCGACTGAAGGGTCAGTTGAGTTTTTGATGATCGCGGGTTTTGTGTGAACAAACAAAAAGAGGAAAGCTTTTGAAGCATTTTATTGACAGTGGTAATCCATCACTGTTGAGTAAATTACATAGGTGTTACCGTAATACCTGGACTAATGTTAACATTTCTAACCTCCACAGGTTCTTATCTTTTAATTCAATTGTTTATTAGAAATTAGAATTTTATGCTAGTCTGATGTTGAGCATTAGAGAGCTCTACAATATCATCTGTGTGTGTTTTTAACGGTGGGATTTTGAGAACATGGACCCGACTGATGGCATCTTTTCGTGGCCGTCTCCGTACGTGCTGTGAGCGTGGAGCAAGGCCAGATTTCGATGTCTTCATAGCAAAAATGGGACAGAAAAAGTGCAAATCAATAACACCTGCTGCACCAGCTTGAAACGTGTCTGCTGTCGTAGATTTGGAGCTTTGAGAATCAGGAATGTAGACGGAGTGGACACTGTTGCAGATCGCACTCAAGTCTAAAAGCTCGCACGATCCGTTTTCGCCAAATCTGTCCAAGGTGTGGAGGCTTGCAGGCTTCTTCCGGGGTGGGGGGTTGTTTGTCAGCTCTGGGCCTGGAGGGGCCAGAGACAAAATGAGGAGATTGTAGCTAGTCGGAGTTATCAGATGTGTCGGCGTCCAGCCTGGAGGTGACTCTGGACCCGGCTCTGGCCGGGGGAGTCTCCGTCAGACAGCATGAGAGATGGCTGTGCTAACGGGTCCCAGGGTGTCCCCCGGACCTGAATGGGAGAGTCGGGGTGGGGGTCAGTGGAGAGGAGGAGGGAGAAACGGAGTGTTACAGCTTTCAGGAGAAGGGAAAGAAAAGGAGAGAAGAGGGAGAGCGGGGGCCTGGGTGGGGGTCGGGGAGGTTAGGGGTGGGGGGGGGGGGCAGCAGACATGACTGCTGCAGAGACATGGAGCAGAGGGGAGGGGAGGGGCAGGGGGTGGGGGGTGGGGCTCTCCTAGTAGCTGTCCATTAACAGATGAACTTGGCAATGATCCAGGCCTCAAAGGTCTTGGGACACACACACACACACACACACACACACACACACACACACACACACACACACACACACACACACACACACACACACACACACACACACACACTCGTCTATACCTGCTGCTTGTAGATGGAATGCCACCATGAGTCTTTTTTGTCCAGAGGCGAAAGAAGACACGTCTCTGGTTCACCTATGTCAGAACTGGTTCAGACCGGTTAGCCAGCCAGGCTGAAGCAGGAAGGCGGACAGGCCCCACGGCCAGGCCCTCTCTCGCTCCTCTCGTCCCTCTCGTCTGTTTTCCAGGCTTTGGTGTAGGAAACAGAGACAACCTCTAACCTGAGGGCACGGGACAATGCAGAAGTGAAAAGAAAGAAGCGAGGGAGCGTGGGAACAAAGTGAGAGAGCAGTGGAACGGGTTGTAAGCAGGGTGGGAAGAGGACGGGGAAAGTGTTTGGTTGTTGTTGGAGCTTCGCTCTTGATGGGACAACATGAGCTCCATGCCACCTCAGCTACTGTGTACTGAAAACATCAGAGCAAACGCAAGAGAGGCAAAAACTGGGAGGAATGGAAGATAACGGAGCTGCGTGGTGAGGACGCGTAGCATTTGAGCCGCTTCTGCTACGT